AGAGAGGAAGGCTTCAAAATTAAAAGTTACAATTTCTTTACAGCCTGTCATCTCATTTCAGAAGTTTTAAAGATATTTTAAGCCATGAAAATCAGCATATTTTCCAGAAACGCTTTGCTAAATCAAAATAAATATGTAATGTTACTGCAGGCTGAAAGCTCAGGATGTACCTGCTGCAGAGATAAAGTGCAAAGACATCTACTTGTACTCACCAAGTTTTCCTATTATATGAGAAACTAGCAGTATGAGAGTTATAAGCAGAAATTTTAGTAACATCATTAGACATTCACTTCTTAATTTGAGGTGAAAGTATGCATGGCCAGCAGAATGCATGACCTGGGTAATTAATCTATGGTTATTCTGATAAATGTATTGATTTTTAAAGTTTTAGTTGGTGGGGTGGGGGTGGGGTAGGAGAGAGAAATAGAGATCTTCCATCCTAAGATTCACTCCCTAAATGCTCACAACAGCCAGGGTTGGCTGGGCCCAAGAATTCTATCTGGGTCTTCCACGTGGGTGACAGGGGGCCAAGAACTTGAACCTTCAGCTGCCACTCCCCCAGGGTGCACATTAGCAAGACTCTGGGGTCTGAAGCAGAGCCAGGACTCAAACCCAGACAGTCTGATATGGGACAGGAGACTTCCAAGTGGTGTCTTAACCACTATGCCAAGACCTGCCTCCACAGTTATTATTTTTTTATTTTAAAATTGTGTGCTGTTTAATCACTTGTTCTTTCCCTCTCTTTAGTAAAAAAACAAACAAAAAAAAGTTAGCATCTTCTAGTGATGTACAACCCTGGGAAAAATTGTAAAAAGGGAAAGTTAAGTTATAGAATCTGTTTTTTTTTTTTTTAACCTCTTTTCATTTCCATTTCTTTCTGCTTTCCTGGATTGTAGCATCTTCCCCTTGGGCATCAAGCATTCTGACTGCAGTTTCTTGCCTTCCCTCCACAGCAATGCTCAGCCTTTTACTCCCTGTGCTCTCCTCTCTCCGCACCTTCATCATTTTGCTTTTTCTTTTTACCAGCAAGCGTCTCTCAGATAATCGCGTCAATTTTGCCTAAGGTATTTAAAATGCCTTCTTTTTTTAATTTTAAAGGATTTATTAATACGCTAGATTCTCTGGGTCACAGCAAACGCATAATTACTATAGTACAATTCTCATCAGTTCGCTTGTTAATGTGATATTAATACAAAGAAAACAGATTCGACGTAGATCATAGATACAATCCTAAGAATATAATGATACTTTCGGGCCAGCGCCGCGGCTCAATAGGTTAATCCTCACCCAGCGGCGCCGGCACACGAGTTCTAGTCCCGGTCAGGGCGCTGGATTCTGTCCCGGTTGCCCCTCTTCCAGGCCAGCTCTCTGCTGTGGCCAGGGAGTGCAGTGGAGGATGGCCCAAGGGCTTGGGCCCTGCACCCCATGGGAGACCAGGATAGGTACCTGGCTCCTGCCATCGGATCAGCGCAGTGCGCCGGCCGCAGCATGCGGCCGCGGCAGCCATTGGAGGGTGAACCAACGGCAAAGGAAGACCTTTCTCTGTCTCTTTCTCTCACTGTCCACTCTGCCTGTCAAAAAATTAAAAAAAAAATGATACTTTCCTTCCTCTTGAATTATCATATAAATTATACCATTATTGACTTACTATGAAATAAATATTATATATTTAAAAGCTGGAGTTTCATTTAGCAGGCTTAAACATTGAAAAGATTGGGATTACCCCGTCCCTCAAGTTAAAAAAATATACTTTTTAATTGTTTGAGTAGTGCAAAGTTTATAACACATCACAAATTCAAATAATTTCTTTTGACATGCTCTGATCATAAAATTTTAGGTACGTATATAGTGAAATAGAGGAGTTGATTTTGGTTGTTTTTTAGGTTGGTTGCTTTTGCACGGGGGTTGCTGCTATCCTAAATTAGCTCAATCTTCTACTGCCCTAATGCCCAGCAATTTGCTCACATTTGTACCTTGCAACAACCCTGTGGAGTGAGATTAGCAGCCTCAAGAAACAGATGCAGACAAGTTTTTGCACCTTGTAAGTGGCAGTACTGAGATGCAAAGCGAGTCTTAAAGGCTAATCATTTTAAGCTCTTCCTGTGCTTGGTGATCAATCAACAGGCTCTGGTGTCTTAATGTTAAGGCCACTGGTTTATCTTGAGGCTCTGACCTGCTTTTTTAAAATTTTTTTATTTTATTTTTTTTTAATTTTTGACAGGCAGAGTGGACAGTGAGAGAGACAGAGAGAAAGGTCTCCCTTTTTGCCGTTGGTTCACCCTCCAATGGCCGCTGCGGCCGGTGCATCGCGCTGATCCGAAGCCAGGAACCAGGTGCTTCTCCTGGTCTCCCATGGGGTGCAGGGCCCAAGCACTTGGGCCATCCTCCACCGCACTTCCGGGCCACAGCAGAGAGCTGGCCTGGAAGAGGAGCAACCGGGACAGAATCCGGTGCCCCAACTGGGACTAGAACCCGGGGTGCCTTTCGACAACCATTTTACACCTCCCTACTGGCTGGCTAGCTCCAATACAGTCTGTCTGCTGCTACCCCTTTCTCTGCCTGAACACCATAGCCCTCTGACCCCTGCCTTGCCGGTGTTTGCCTGTGACTTCCTCCCTCATGCTCTCCCCTTGGCCTGAGAAGGAGCTCACAGTAACCATCTGCTCTATACGATTGTTTACAAAACACAAAACGATGTAGCAATCAGTCTAGAGGCAGACCCAGCTGGCAATGTGGGGACCTTAATGTTTTGTCTAGCAATGTAACTTTGCCTCTTCACAGCCTTTTCATCCATACCTTTGTTTTTAAACCCTCACCTTCAGTCTGGACCCTCAGAGGCACCCACAGCTCCCAAGTTAAAGTTTCTAAGGATGTAATCTATTTTTGTCCTCCATAGGCAGTTAAATTCAACTGACCTCCCAGCCCCATCTTCTTTCCATTCTCTCATTTGGCTTTTTCTTCTCTTCTGTACTCTTTGTCCTTGGAGGATTTTTATTTTTTAAATATCACTGCCACTGTCTTCTTTGATTCTCTTTTTCATGGCGTTTCTTCAAGAAGAGAAAAGGATATGGGCATTGAATTAGTCATATTTTATTGGATGTCTGTAATCTTTTATTTAGAGATAGTCAGATACGAAAATCACAGACTTTGGAATTGGACTCCCCAGCTTACTCCAGTCGTGGCACTGTGACAAAATGATGTTTGTACAGTATGCTGGGGTATGTGACAGGACTGGCATGGACTGTCCCCAGGTGCTCCACCGTGAGGTGGGGGGTGAACAGTTCCTGGCACACCTGTAACTCCAGGCATCCTGGCTGTGAAGCTCTGAGCACAAACACTGCTTGCATCCTGACTGTTTAGCTTGGTATCTGCACGACCTCAAACAACTTACGTTTTCCCAACTCTATTGGAAAACATGGGGATTATGGTTTCCATTTCTTAGCATTATTATCAGAATCACATGTGCCAACGACTGCGCATCCAGATCCTTCCTTCACATGAACCCCAATAAACCTTACCCCATGCAGTGTGGGCACTCAAATAATCATAAAAGTGACTAGAGTGGGCACCTTTGCAATAGGATGGGAGATAACGTGGGATCAATGGAATTTTGTAACTGTAACTTTGTCTCTGGTTTGAGTGATGAGACTGTCTTTCACCATCACACTCATGTGATTTGAGAGGTTGAGAAGGAATAAAGTTGATGGTAGGTGTCAGGGGAAAGTCCAGTGCATTGTCTCACAGTTAAAAGAGAATAGCTGAGGTGGCTGTTTAAAGGCATTTTCTCTTTCTTTCTTGTATTAGATTTATGCCTGTCCTGCGTAGCCTTTATCTCCACGTTACTCGCTTTCCTGCAGTCATTTCTTTACCGCTTCTCTATGGTACCCTCCGCAGGGTCCGGGCCATTGCACTGCTTCTCAGATTTAGGAATACACCGCTTTACATTTAGAGCAGCGAATTTTGTCGCAACAACACAGAATGCGTTGGCGTAACGTTAAAGCCATGTGGGAACTACAGTAGAGCTTGAAGACTGTTAAGCCCAGCTAGGAATCTATGCCACTTCTTTTCTTTTAATATTCCCAGCTTCCGTTTTTTTTTTTCTTTTGTGTCATCTCATCTTCTCTCACCTCTTACCTTTGTTGTGCTTTTGTTTGTTTTAAACAGCTTTATTAGATATAACTCACACATCACACAATTCACTCCAGGGGTTTTCAGTTTATTCAGAGTTGGGGCAAGCAACATCCAGATGGAAGAGTTTCCATAACCATGTTTTGTTTTGTTTTCTGGAAAGACAGTCACCAAAACTCCAGAGGGGCAAACCTCAGGGAGCAAACCCAACAACTCCAGTCTGCCCTCTGCCTCTAACTCCTGTGGGGGAGGCCGGTGGGCAGGTGAATCCTCATCCCATTTTTACCCTCCCCAACGGCCCCCGTCAATCACTCCTGGAGGCACTTCCAACTGGATTGGCCCAACCTCCTTGCACTCCTCCTACCCTCTCAGCTGTCAGGAAATCCTGGAGTAATCCTTGCCCTGGAGCCACTTGTGTTTTCAATCATCAAGGATTGGGGCTAGGCTACAGGAGTGAACAAAGAACAATTCAGGGGCCTTGCTGCCAGCCACACTCAGGAGCGCGGGTTTGCGCCGTAGGCCGAAGGCGATACCGTCTGCATCGCAGATAATAAACCAGAGAAGGCGCGCACCGCTCGATGGGTTGGAAACCGCGAGCAGGTGGGGGTCCTCTGGACTCCTCCCAGCAGTGCTTGGGCGTGGTGGGCGTGGGAGTCGGGCGGACGTGCCGCCGTTGGAGGGCGATTTTCCCGGGAAGGCCGCAGGTTGTCCATGCACGAAGGGGTTGGATTTCTTGAGGGGCGCCTTTCGCCTCCCGCCACGACGCCGCCGCCGCGACTCTCCCATTCACTCCTGGCCCCCACTCCAGCCTGTTGCTCTCTCGGCGACTCCAGGTCAGATTTTCCTGGCGACTCTGGAGTGTGACTTCCAAACTTCTGGGCTGCGGGCTCACCTCGGAATTTGCCCCCGCCCCCTGCGAGCTCCCTCCGGTCCCAGTCAGTGGCTCGAGCGCCCCAGTCGTCGCGGAACCCAGCGCAAATCGGGACCGCGGGCAGCGCCGCCTGCGGGGTGAGGACCGCGCCCATGAAGCCGTCTTGGCTGCAGTGTCGCAAAGTCACCGGCGCCGGGGGCCTCGGGGGGCCCCTGCCCGGGACCGCTCCGGCCCGGGGCGCGGCGGGCCCGGCCCGCAGGGCTTATGTGGCCCCCGGTGCGTGGGGCGCCCTCGGGGGCCGGGGCTGCAGGGCGCTGTCGTCGGGCGGGGGTGGCGAGTACAAGACCCACTTTGCAGCGTCGGTGGCCGACCCGGAGCGGTTCTGGGGCAAAGCTGCGGAGCAGATCAGCTGGTACAAGCCGTGGACCAAGACGCTAGAGAGCAGACACCCGCCCTCCACCAGCTGGTGAGTCGCCTTCCTCGCCATCCCCGCCAACCCCGAGACCGCCTAACTTCTGGGGCGCCTGGGTTCCACCTGTCGGGGGCCTGGGGTCCGGACCTGGCTTCGCTCAGAGAAGAAAATGGAAGTGGGGAACGTTTCCCTTCAGTTGCACGGTCCTCGCCCTTGAGGTCTCCTCTCGAGGCACTTGGTTGCCCACGGGGTTGTCAATTATCTGTAAACAACTTCACCTGTGTGGCAGGGCTCTGCTGGGCGCTCGGGTGTTAAGGGGACAGAAACTAGGGCCTACCTCTAGGGACAGCGCGGGGTAGCAGCGGAGACACCGGGTAAACAAACGCGGGCAATTTAATTAACTGGGCACTTACCGCTACGCGGCCACACACTGTGGAGAGGAAGAGTCTTGAGCAGACTTTAGCAAAATCAGAGCCGAGTAGGCTTGGGAAGGATGGGTATATCTTCCCAAAGTGGACAAGGGCCTGGGTATCAAAGTTCGAGAGGTAGAAAGCAGCTTGAAAGGTGACAGACTTGTGCTGGGGGGAGTAGTGGGAGAAGGAGCTGGTGTCAGGGGTCAGGTTGGGGTGGCTTGGACTAGCTCCCTAGCCCTGCTGTGTATATGAAGCTGCAGCAGGGAGTGCCACAGAGAAGGCGGATATGGGCTAGGTAGCACTAGAAGTCATGGTGGCAATGAAGGTGTCTTTTTTTTTTTTTTTTGATTATTATATATTTATTTGAAATTCAGAGTTACAAAGAGAGAGAGAAAAACAGAGATCTTCCATCTGCAATTCACTCCCCAGATGGCTACAGTGGAATCCAGGTGCCAGGAACTCCATCAAGGTCTCCTGCCTTGGTGCCAGGGGCCCGAGTACTTGGGCTATCTTAAGCTGCTTCTCCAGGTGCATTAATAGGGACCTAGATCTGATACAGAGCTGATATTGAGTGTCTAATTACCCGCAATGTGGGGTGCTGATATTGTGGGCAGCTGCTTAACCCGCTGCACCACAAGACTGGCCTCATATAGTTTTTTTTTTTTATAAGCTTATTTATTTGAAAGGCAGAGTTAGAGAGGGAGGGAGGAGAGAGCGAGAGCGAGCGAGAGCAAGAGCAAGAGAGAGAGAGCAATCTTCCATCTGCTGGTTTACTCCCTAAATGGCTGCAACAACCAGAGCTGGGCCAGACCTAAGCCAGGAGCTTCTTCCAGGTCTCCTGTGTGGGTGCAGGGGCCCAAGCACTCGGGCCATTCCCAGCTGCTTTCCCAGGTATGCTACCAGGGAGCAGGATCAGAATTGGAGCAGCCGGGACTTGAACCGGCAGATGTCTATGTCACAGGCAACGGGTTTTCCTTCTCTGACACAGCATCCGACCCTCCATAAAGTTTTGTTTCTTGAGATGCAGTTAGAAGTAGTTAAACATTATTTTCATATTGCAGTAAACAAAGATGTATTACAGAATAAATGCTAAAGGAGAGTGAGGGTGAGGCAGTCAGACAATGAGAAACTTTGACCATGGCTCTTGTGTTCCCCACCGCTAAAGGTGTGGCTGCTCTCATACTCCAGCCATTAGGGAGGGATGTTGCTTTCACGTTTCAAAAACAGTACTCAGCGTTGAGATGAAGGGAGTGACATGGTCAGGTTTGCATTTGACAAATACCCCCATGGTCAGAGTCAGGAAACTGGAATGGAATTGGTGAGAGTGTTCCATGTCCTCACCATGCCCTGGTGTTCTCAAGTTTGCTTGGGGGAGTGTTGGCCCACTGTTCCCGTTAGATCTAAGCACCTTGCCCACATTTCAAATATTTTCCATAGTATTTGATTGATCCTCTTTTATGTGCCAGTGAACCATGCACTAGGTATAAACAGTAGGTAAAAGAGTTCCTGCTTTCTGGGAGTCATGAAAGTTAGAGAGTGAACTCTGGGGTCATACTGGTTTGGTTGGAGTTCGACCTTTCACAGTGCTTGGCTGTGGCTTCATAAGCAAGTACCTAATCTCTCTGCTTCAATTTCTTCAACGCAAATATGGGAATAGCTTGAGGATTAACTGAGTGAGGGATTGAAATGACTCTCAAATAGAGTGAACGCTATAAATATTAGAGGAAGAATAGTTATCTTTGTACTCATAATTATTTTTGGGAGCAGCAAACTCTTGTAGTGTCTCTCAGATCAAAACACAGAGTTCATTGCCCTTCCTAAGCGTCTGGGATCCCTTTCCTTGTTCACAAAGCTTTGTGTACATACATCTCTCCATAAAATATAATGCTGTAATTATTTTATGGAGCTATCCCTACCATAAAAACAACACGCAGAGACTTCAGTTAAGAAGCCACTGGGATTTTCTAACCAATGAGGGCCAGTCTTAAGGTAGTGGCAGTAGCCAAAGAGGGGAAAGGAAAAAGGGACCTGAGTGTTGTTAGGGGCGTGGGGATGGGGAAGCACATAGAGTACAGAGAAAGCTGGAGTCAACGTGTCTAGTGAGTAGATGCATAAGACCTGAAGATTTCTTTGCTAATCACTTGGTTTTCCTTTTTAATCCCTACCTGCTTGTCTAAATCTAAAATTGTGAGCATAAAATGTCATGCATGAGTATTTCTGTGAAAGGGTCCTTGTATTTTTTAGTTAGTACATTGTAGATCACCAGCATTGGAAAGTTCCGTATCTGAACTGATCATCTTTACACTCTTGGATTCACGCCACCATGCCTGTTTTATAGCAGCCCAGAAGATCAAAGTGAACAGTGATAAGAAGTTGAGCCTGTGTGTATTTCATCAGTGTGATTTAATCTTAAGAATTTTGGTTGGTAGAGCAGAGTTAGGAGAGAAGTACAGGTAGAAAGCCAGTCGTGAAGTACAGGTAGAAAGCCAGTCGTAAACTTCATGCAGTAAGTGGTTTGCTTTTGAATCATTTACTGCGTTGGGTACTTAATCGCAGGTACTTAAGATTGGTTATCAATTGTCTACAAAGTCAAACTCAATCAAAGGCGAATGCTTTTGCTATTTTATTTTTTGATCTTTATATCTGATCTAGGGCAGAACTGGAATTGGGATTTTTAAAATTACATGAAATTATTAATAACAGGGTTTTTCCTGCCATATGTCTTAGGGAGGTGGTAAGTGGTTATAGGTACAATTTTGTGAGAAGGAATCTTGATAAATTTCTTTGAAGCTGGCATCTGGGAAGGAGATAGCACATTTTCCTAAGCCGAGTAAGGAGGGATTGTTAACTGTTTGCTCCTAGATGGAGCTGCATTTGTGTGCTTACTGTCTCTGAAGCGCTTCCCAGGGTCAAGTGGGGTTTTTCTTTGTTTTCTTTGTTAAAAGCTTTTTTTTTTTTTTTTTTTTTAATGAACATGAACTTCCCTCAGAATCTAGACTTATCAAAAATCCTGGCATATAAATTGTGTTGCATGTTTACATTCAGTGTCATAAGATAACCAGCGTTTTACATTCAATAGTATGAACATAGAATAGAAATTTTTAAGGGTGATAGATAAAAGAGACTTTGCATTGTAGTGGAAGACTATAAAATACATTAGCAATGCTATAATCTCAGATCTTGGAAATTCAGTTCCAAGTTACTTGTGTAGATGCTTTAAACTTGCAAAGAACTGCCTCTCTTCACAGTAGGGGGGAATACATATTGTTGACAACAGGACTTTATGGGTAACAAGGACTATTACAGAGACTTTGGTGGGGAAATGTAAATACATGTGAAGCTGTAAGAAGTCTTAGTAATTTCTTCACTGTGGAACAATAGAGTGGATTTTTTTTTTCTGGTTATTTTCTTCTGATGAATTAGACATGCTGCCAGTCTTTAAAGGATTGGGCAGTTCAGTTTCCCATTTTGCTTTGTGGTTGATCTCTGGGTCATCAATTTATTCATGTCTATGAAAACTTTGAAATGCCATTCTGGTTTATTTTTATTGAAATAACATTCAGTGTTAAGATTCTCAGATCCCATTTGATTTAAGGTTTAATAGATATTAATAGTGAATAAAACTGGAAAGAAAAAGATTCTAAAGGCAGGTTATTAGAAAATGGTTTAAGCTTGATTAGCACTTCTGCAATGGAGCTGGCGTAGTTTGGTCAACATGCAAATTCTCAATTACTAGCTTGGAGACTAAGCTTGTTTAATCCTGCACAAGTCTTAAAATGGCCCATAGGAATTAAAGAATATCACTTATTTACTCACTGTTTATATGGTAGTACAGAGCATATAATGAAAGTGAAGGGCCGGCGCCGCGGCTCACTAGGCTAATCCTCTGCCTAGCGGCGCCGGCACACCGGGTTCTAGTCCCGGTCAGGGTGCCGGATTCTGTCCCGGTTGCCCCTCTTCCAGGCCAGCCTTCTGCTGTGGCCAGGGAGTGCAGTGGAGGATGGCCCAGGTGCTTGGGCCCTGCACCCCATGGGAGACCAGGAAAAGCACCTGGCTCCTGGCTCCTGCCATCGGATCAGCGTGGTGCGCCGGCCGCAGCGCGCTGGCCGCGGCGGCCATTGGAGGGTGAACCAACGGCAAAAGGAAGACCTTTCTCTCTGTCTCTCTCTCTCACTGTCCACTCTGCCTGTCAAAAAAAAAAAATAAATAAATAAAATAAATAAATAAATAAAAAAAAAGCTTCTTAAAAAAAAACTATTTAAAAAAAAAAAAGAAAGTGAAGGAAGTCACTGCACAATGGTGAGAATGGCATGTATTGAATAAATTAATACAAAACTACTTAGAGTTTCAGTGGTTAAAGGGTTCTGTAGCACCGTTTACTTTAGAATGACCATGGAAAGGATGCTAAGGAAATGAATTTTAATCTGAGGTCAACATGAATGCGGATTAGACATGTGAGAAGGGGTAGGAGCATTTCAAACAACACAGCATGTGCCAAGTTTCCTACGTTCTAGAAAATTAAAGAGTTAGGAGTTTGAGACCTACGAAGTGACGGAAATTATCAGGATACAGGAGGAGAGGGCCACATTGTGAAAGGTCTTGTGAGTTGGGTTCAGGAATTTTAAATTCTTTTCTCAGTCG